TTCGGATTCAAACCCGGCGAGCGTCCTAGTTTAACATCTTCTCTGGCCACTTCTGGCAACATCCCTCGGTGCTTGGCTGGATCAAACCATTGGCGGATCTGGTTGTAGAATTCTTCCTATGGGCACTTGCCGACGTCGTGAATCTCGCCACACCCGCGACACACGTAGAAGCAATGATCCCCGGGATGACCTTTCTTGCCACACTTCTCACAGACCAGATGTTTCCAGCATCCAGATTCAGTGTGCTTCCGGGATTCGCACTGTGAACACCTGACTTGTGCTGCCCCGTCCATGAGATCTCGGGATCTGTACATCCCACGGTCCCCGGGTACGGTATCCCCCGGTCGAGAGTTGTCTCCTGTCTTCGCCGTTCGATCGTTGGATGCAGTGAGACAGACCCGACGGTAATCTTCAGGGTCGGAGTCCGAACCGTCGGATCCTGATTCAGTTCCTGAGTCGGGCGCCGTGACTTGGTGGACACGTCGAGCTGGGGCCGTAGGCGTCGGAGCCTTTTGGCGATACTTGCCGGATCCGACCGCCGCCTTCTTCTGGCGGTGTTTCGCGCGATCCACCGCCCGCAGCACTTCCTTAAGCTCGTCTGCGTCGGAAAGTCGCAACAGGGTCAGCCTGTCGGCCAGATCCACGTCTCCCAACGTCTCGATGAAATGATCCACTTGTTCCCGCAGTACCTTGGATTCCCCATCTTTGATCTTCAACTTGGCCCGTAGACCGGCCACATTTAGTCGATGTAGGTATTCTAGCGGGGATTCATCCGATCTGCGGCGAGCGTGGTAGTATTGTCGTGCCACCGACACTCCCAATCCACAGTACTGGGTCTGGAAACTGCGCAGCAAATCTGGCCACTTGTTCCTGGTGGATCTGCCCAGCTGCCGATACCAGTTCCTGGCTGGCCCCGCTAGAAGATCCGCAAAGGTCAAACACTTCTCAGCATCCGACGCTTGATCTCTCATGAGGGCCGACTTGACTTTGCTGATCCATGTTCTCGCTCGGTCCTCATCTTGATCCTTGCCCGTGAACTCCTTCAGATCCGATATGCCTGAGATCCGTACCCTCTGGATCATGGACGATCCACCTGCCCCGGCTGTGGCCGTTGCTACCACTGCTGACGAAGTGGATGGGCCATCCAGATCATCTGGGTCGAACTCATCATGGGAGTTGTCTCCCTCCACGGACTCCATCTCCACATCTCGTGCCCCATGTTCGTGGAGCACTTGCGCTTGTGGTACGGGCGTTCTCATACCCTGTTCGGCCAGGAAACGACTCATCGTAGCTTCGAAGTGTCGCTGCAGGGTACCTGAGGAGGTGTCGGAAGAGCTTGTGACCGGCTGGTCCACTGGCGAGACAGGATCCGTGAGGCGATTACCTTAAGTCCGATCTGACAGTAACCCCACTGGCTTCTTGCCGGATCTGGCTCGATCCTGGCTGGATTGTATCAGATCACGGGTAGGGCATACTGGATCCCGAGCCTTCACAGGGACTTCCTGTCCCCGGATCCTCGCCCGCGCTTCCAGCATGGATGCCCCGGAGGGTCCTAAAGTCATGCGTCGTGGTTCGGACGACGTGTCTGACTCATCCTCAGCGGCGGATTCGTAGTTCGAGGATGCAGCTTGGCTGATCCTCGGCGACGACTCTGGATCCATAGTGCGCGACCTTTCTCCGGTGATGGACTTAACTCTGGCAAAGAGGTCCCGCGTCGCGGATACTATGAGATCCAGGTCTAGCTCGAAGATATCCTCTGCGTCGAACACACCAGCTACGATGCCTGACTCCGTAAGCAAACGCAATAGATCTTTGACTGCCACCAACTTGTTCGCCGTTTTCGTTGGTGCTCTCACCGGTTCCTTTGGATCGTCGATCTGTCGTGGATTCAGGATCTGCATGACAGGATCTTGATGCAGGAAGTCGCGTAAAGCTTTGGTGGCGCTACACAAACTCGAGATCCTTGTCGGACCAGCTTGACCTGGATCCAGCTTGGTCTTCTTCCGACTCTGGAGCTTGCATCTTCTTCCGCGTAGTCTTACTCGTTTTCGTCTTCTTTCTCGTTTCTTCGACTAGCGGGGTTGGGTTTAGGTACAATGTTGGCTTAACCGGTGTATCTGCAAATGCATACCGTTTCACCTTCACTTTCCCTTGTTTTGCTAGCGGATCTTGACTTGCGTCAAGATCCGCAGGGGTCCCCGAGGGGACCTGGGGAGGATAGAGAGGTTTCTCTTCTAGATCCGGATCCGGATCTACCTCTCTTCCGTCGACAGAGTTCCTCCCAAAACTCCATCGATCCGCGGATCTTGTTTCATTCAGCAGCGTCTTCGTCGATCCGACCTCCGACGACGCCTCTTCCCCTGGCTCAATCTTCACTTGAGCATCTTCTTGGGACTCACGGTGAAATCCCGAATCACCAAAAGATCCGGGCACGCGCACCATTGTGGTGTAGCGGGATCAGCAAAATCTGCGAGATTGCCAGATCCAACTTACCAACTGCGCCCAGACACCGACTAACGGAGGGGATCTTCCGATGATCCGTGTTCTGCTGAACTTTCCTCACCTTGTGTACCCGTCGGTAGGGCGGGATCTTGCTCTCTCGGTAACTTCCGAAGAGTTCAAGTGGTGAAGCTTGAGTGTCTTGGCGAGACGTGGGGATGGGGTGGAGCAGCAGTGGAAAATCTTCACTCTGCGTCCGTGGATGGTTCCGTATCCTAAGCGAATATTCGAGCTTATGGATCCGGGGCCTAGATCGTGGATCTAGCCGTAGGGTTGCCTTGCGGGTGTGTTCCCTTGCCTTTGTGTTGTCCTTTAAGTCGTACTTGCCGCCTCCTGTGACGGGATCTTGAGAGTTGAGAACCTCTAGGGTGTAACCGACCAAGTAGTAAATTCGGTTAGCCTGTCGGATCTGCACAAGTAAAGGAAAAGCTCACTAGGTTGTAGGATCTGGCCAATGTATTATCCAGTTATCACTACCAACACTAGATTCGCAATTCCCAACCTTCTCGGAGCTCGTACGGCCAATGTAGTTCCGGTTCTTGAGGGCAGGAAGGCACTTGCGTGTCACTGTGCAAATTGGAGTCTTTATTTATTGAGTTAGTCCCTAGGGTCAAAGTATACACGAAACTTGTCCGGGCCAATGCTCATCTCCGCTACGAATGTTCTGCAAGGCCAAATCCAATCCCCGTCGAAACGCTTTACGTAGTTGATCTCCACTTGATGATCCCGTTACGATTCCGTGCCCACTTGTTTAATATCCTGCATATGCATGATACTTAATCAGCAGCATCTCTCAGTCTTTTGCGTGATCCACCACCTTTCGTTGGAGTTGCTGGGCGCATACGGATGCGGCGTTCTTGGTTCGAAGGTCGCAGCTTTCCTTCACTCCATTCCTTGTGCCACACGTCAAAGCAGATTGCCAAGACTCCGCGAATCACATGCCTCGGGCGCATACACAGGTAGATAGGCGCATCACCATCGCACTCGGAGCAGTAGTACGCCGTCGTGTGGGGCTTCGCGCCCTGCATCAGAGAGCAAACTTTACACGCACGCTGACGCCGCTTCGGCTGCGTATCTCGGTTCCTCCATTCATCCACCAACTGTGCTACATGAGTAGAAGCGTGCCCCGCCACACCAGAACCCGACGTACCGGCGATCTGCTCCCTCTCACAAAACGTGTTTCCGTCGAACATGTCCACTTCTTGGAGCTGGGTGAGCTGCAAGTGGAGGCGCTTCATGAATTTAACGTGCGTCAACGGCTTTGAAGTCTTGTGCTTGTGGTACTTTAGAAAGATTACACAATCTTACACGTCCCCCGGATCCACATCTCGTGGCCGTGTTTTCATCTTACAAATGATCTCTTTTGCAGTACCCAACGCGATTTGTCATTATAGTGCCCACACAATAGTACCCCATCAGTAGTAGCTGAATCAGGAGAGCAGCCGAGGTGTAGAAGCGATCGATGACAACCAGTCTCTTTGCGGGCAACGGAGCGTCACCGAACACTTCGCGGAGGTTTCGAACGACGGCGGCAGGGCCTTCCTTCTTGTCGAGTTGGGCAGCGTCGCTTGCATGATGTTTCTTGCCGCAGTATACTTCAAACCTGCATAATGCAGTTTAAACAGGAACATACTTTCATTAGTAAAGTGAATAATACAGGATAAGAAAATTTTAGAACCAAAAAACACCTGATGCAGTACGCCGTGTGTGCACTGCACAACATAAAGAGCTTCGTTCCCCACTTGTGCGGTTTTGCTTTCATGTAGACGCGCATCTTGTTGAATCTGCTGCGGCTTGGAAGCATGGCTTCATCAAATGAAAGCTCTGCAGGTGGCACGTATCCTTCGCGAAACGTCCGCTGCAGCACTTCAACAACCTTGCGGATCTTCCAGGCTCGATCCGTGGTCGCTCTTGGGTCGTCGTTATCATTGAAGTGTAGATTTCTGCAGATATCCATGAATCGATCTCGTGCCATCACAGAACTGAACGCTCCACGTGGAATCGCCCCCTCGTCGGTGGTTTTCCAGTGGTTTGCCAGCTTTTCTCGGTTTGGGCAAACTGTTCGCGCGATCAGTAGTCCCACGAAGCGACACAGCTCGTGTGGTTTGATTGGAGGAGCTGCTTGAAGCTCTTGTAGCACATCGCGCCGTGTCTTCTTCTTCGTGGCAGGATTCGCTTGACAGCGTCGCTTGTGGCGCTTGTAGGCATCGTCAACACGAG